CTGAAAAGAGACAAAAAATGATTACGACCTCCTTCTCCCTCTCAAAAGTATGTAACACTTCATGAAACCTAAAGGCAGTTATAACTGTCCAGTCACTGGAAACACAAGGGCTTATGAGGTTGCACTCAATTGTACACGACGCTTTATCATACACCTTGAAACTATTTCTGTGGACTTATGGGCAGGACATGGAAAATTCTGGCTTGTTATTTTATCTAAACTTTACATACTAGGATAGATCAAAAATTGCTAGGCTCACGTATCGTTTTCAGTATTATTAAATTTCAATGTATTTTACCTATTTACTTCCCGAGAAAAGAAAAAAAGAACGACAACTTTGGCTTCATACAAAGAGAAAAGGGGGAATTGGGCTAGGACTAATTTGTAAATATAGACTAGTTCCTTTTTTTAATTTTTGAAATTTTTTCCTAGGACAGGTCAGAATAATTTTTCCCGAATTCAGGGCCTCGCAACATGGGGTTTCCCCCATATTGACATTTTTTTTCATTAGGAATGAGATTTGTAGAGCGCCCAATATAAGGCAAAAGACATGAGACTACCCAGAAGACCACAGGCTGATGTAACCAAGAGTCATACCCTGCACTTTTTCTCAGCTTGACATCTCTATTCTGCCCTTTTCTTATGTTATCTCTGAACGCTTACTCTCTGATGAATCCTACAGATGAATGTTGAGCCCTCTCACCACAGGAGCTAGTTGCCAGGGGGTGAGATTTTTTTTTAAATAGAAAGACAGAGATTTTCTTTATAAAATTTTCTTTATAATCATCGCAGGCCTTGATGCTCGCTGTTTGGATTTCTTTTAAAATGTAATCAGTAGGGCTCAAGGCTATTTTTAATTTTAGTTAGAAAAATTAATGTGCCATTTCTAGCTCCCAATTATTGTGCATTAAATTGAGATACAAGGCGCTAAATTTTGAGCCACGTCTGAACTTAATTTAATTAACTTTTTTTTTTCTTTTGGTGCCAATTCGGATGCATTCCCAATAATACCCTCAACATGAAAAGAGAAAGTGGGTTGAAATAAAAGTTAGGAATTGTGTTTTTCCCTGGCCCTGGGGCTTGTCGCCATTGAACAAGCCTGAGAGCTTGCGGAAAGTTCTTGCTTAGAAGTGGACCTTTTTGTGACCTCCCTGACATAATGATTCTACCTTATCCGGAAAGTTTATCTTCTTCCACCGAGCAATTTCAGAAGCATGTAGAATATTAAAAGAAGAAGTGGATAGTCTCCTAGACAGTCACACTCAGATATTGGAAACCATAATGAGAAGACATCAGACAATTAGGCAATATGTAGCAAGAGCTTTTACACAGAACGGTCCCGTTTCTAGAAATTTATGTAAAAATGATATATGAGAGACAGAATTGTAGAACAGTGACATTGCAAACAATGTCACTGTGCAATGATAAAGAATAAGTACATGCATCATCTGGGGGAACTTCGTTCCCCACTTTGCCAGTAACATTACCTATTACCTGAATCCCATGTTCTCTTTCTTTGCTTCACTCTTGTTTTGCTGGATCCGATCCTCTAATAGCTTCTTGCAAAAGGATGCAGAGAAAAGATGCAAAGAAAGTTATTTCAAAAAAATATTTTGTGCTTCTGAAAATGACTTTAATCTATACTTTCACTTAGTACTGTCGCTGGATATTGATTCAGTTTGAAAGACATTTTCTGTTGACTTCTAGCTGCCAACGTTGCCTTTGAAAAGTCCTATGCCATTATAATTTCTCATCCTTTGCATACCTTATGTCAATGTTCTGAAATTTCAGTCATATGCCATCATGGGATTACTCTTTAATTTATTGCATTTGGTTTTTTTGATGACCCTTTTACAATCTAGAGTTCAACGTCCTTTGGTTTTGAAGAGTTTTGTCATATTGTTTTCCAATATCTTTCCCCCACTTTCTCCCTGTCTCGAAAGAGACATTTGACTTCCTGGACTGATCATCTAATTGTCTTAATTTTTCTTTATAAGTTTGCATCTCTTTCTTTCTTTCTTTCTTTCTTTCTTTCTTTCTTAAGGTTTATTTATTTTTGAGAGAGAGAGAGAGAGAGAGAGAGAGAGAGAGAGAAAGGCAGAGAGAGAGGAGGAGACACAGAATCTGAAACAAGCTTCAGGCTCTGAGCTGTCACCACAGAGCCCGACGAGGGGCTCCCACTCATGAAATGCGACATCGTGACCTAGGCTGAAGTCGGGTGCTTAACCAACTGAGCCACCCAGGCACCCCTACATCTCTTTCTATGTATGTTTTATCTTATGAGAGATTTCCTTTATTAGTCAATTACTATTTTTTTTTATTTTTGCCATCGCATTCTTTGAATTTCCATGAACTCTTTCTTTCTTTAAATCGTGCTTTTATACTATTCCATGTATTCCATATTAAGGTACTTCTATTCTCCTTATCTCTAAATGTCTTTCCTACTTTTATTTGTCTTTCACGGCTACAAAGTTTCTTAGTATACATGGGATAATAAAAAAGAACAACACCCGAAGCTGATATGATGTTGTACGTCAATTATACTGCAATAAAAAAGAAAATGAAAGAACAACTTTTGTTGTGGTTACCATTGCTCATCTTTTTACTATTGCTATATTTGGGATCTACTAATTTCTGCTCCCTCCATTTATCTTTCTTTTGGTTTGTGTTTCCTGTTCTTTTTCTAACCTTTAAGAGGGATGCTTAGCTTATTAATTTTCAGCCACTCGATGAAAAGTTATGCTCCTGGTGAAATGCAATAATAAAGAAACCTCAAACTGACTTTAAATATGATCACTTCCATAAATACATGCAGAGGAAATGTTCGATAAAATTCAGTATCAATACCTGTATCAGAAATAAAACAAAATGACATCATAAATATCCTTAACCTCAAAAACCCATGATATGTCATTTTGGGAACATCATAGTTAGTGGTGAAATCTTGAAAGTATTCCATTCACATCAACAGCAGAACAAGAGTGACAACTGGCATTTCTATTCAACACCATTCTAGACAACACAGCACAACAACAACAACAAATGCCAATGATAACAGGATAAAAAGATATGAAGTTATTCATAGTCCATTCCTGATATCTAAATAAATTGCACATGAATCAACTATTTAAACACTTGAATGAAAATGTAAAATCCTGAAAAAGTTATGAGACCATTTCTTTATGATCCCAAGAGTGAAAGAGTTTTTGTTTTAAACTAAGACTTTAAATCCAATGACAACAAATACATTAATAACTTCAACCACATTAAAATGAAAATCTTCTGTATGGTGCACACACACACACACACACACACACACATTTATTAAAACTGACCCAGAATTTTTGCCTCTGGGAGTCTTTTCTGTGTATATGGCTCTACTCTCCAAATGACATTATGTCATTGTTTGTAATAGTAACATCTTGGAAATGTGCATCAAAATGGAATTATAATTATTATTATTAAAAACAATGAGAATACTCCCTGATAACATTATATGTAAGGTATACTGCTAAGTGTATAAACCAAGATGCAGAACAGTAGATAGATAGATAGATAGATAGATAGACAGATATCTCAAGCCATTTTTTGTACTAGAAAAGGAAAACCTAAGAACAAATATGTTGTGTTCCTTTATAGCTGCATAAAGAAACATTGAAAGAACACACAAGAAAATAATAAAAGTAGCTATCTATACAAGGTGGAAGTGAACAAGCCGGGGAAAACACTTCCTAAATTTGAACAATTAGCAAACTGGGAAGACACGCTTTACCAACTACGAAGGCTTATTTTAAAGCTATAGTTATAAATACAGTGAAGTCATAGAACAGAGATAGACATATAGACCAATAGAACAAACAAGGAATTCAGAGAGAGATTTGACGTTTGACGATGGTGGTACGGTAGGAAATGTTCAGGTTCACCATGTTTCTATGTGCTTCCCCACATTTCTCATACTCTGTCACTTAGGCTGAAGCCATGTGACTAGTTCTAATCAATAGGCCATAAATAAAAGTGATGTGTGTCACTTCCATGTCCAGGCAGTTATCAAAAAAGACAGATGAGAGGCCACTAAGGTATGGCAACATTCAGCTTCTTGTTCTGGGTAGAAGGTATAAAGATTTTGTTTGATCATTTTTCCCTATAATGTACATGTACTATTTCATATATGCTTTTGTATTAGAGTTCTCCAGAAACAGACCAATAGGAGATATATGTGTATATATGTGTGTGTGTGTATATATATATATATATATATATATAGCCTCATAATATACATTTAATATAAGGAATTGGCTTACAGGAGTATGGCGTTTGAGAAATCCAAGATCTGCAGTCAGCAAGCTGGAGACCCAGGAGAGGTGACGGCATAAGTTCTAGTTGTGTCTGACTCAGAAAGCAGGGCAAGACCCATGTCCCTGCTCAAAAGTCAGGCAGAGAAAGCGAATTCTCCCTCAGTCTGTTTTGTCCTATTCAGGCCTTCAGAGGGTTGAATGAGACCCATTCACATCGGAGAGGGAGATTGGTTTTACTCAGTCTTCTCAGTCAAATGTTAATCTCATCCAGAAATGCCCTCACAGACACTCAGAATAATGCTTGACCAAGTATCTGGGTACCCTGTGGCCTAGATAAGTTGACACATAAAATTCTCCACCACAAGTCATAGGCTTTCATACACAAGCTTCATACACATCTCCTTAAACCATACTCGATCTCCAAATGAACACAGTAACAAAATCATAATTCTGCTGAGATGATATAAATAGCTTCTGTGCAACCCCAAATTCAGGGTCTTTCCCAGAAGAGAAGGTAACATCCTTGAGTAAGGTTTACTCCTTGATATCCTGTAACTTAAATGCTAGGATGTAAAATTAACAAGACACATATCACTACATTTTATATTATATGATGAGGGGATAAAAGAGGGAAAAAAACAAAAATATTGGTTAATATATGTGTTAGTTCAGGCTGCTATAACAAAGTACCACAGACTGAGTGACTTACAAACCACAGGTATTTATTTCTCACCGTTTTTGGAGCCTGGAATTCTGAGATCAGGGTGCCTGCATGGTCAGGTTTGGTGAGAGCTCTCTTCTGGACAGCAGACTGTTGATTTCTTGTATTCTCAAGTGATAGGAAGAGAGATAGCTGGATCTCTGGCTTCTTCTAAGGACATAAATCCCATTCATGAGTGTCTCACCCGCATGACCTAATTACCTCCCACAGGCTGCATCTGCAAATACAGTGGGGATTCAAGTTCCAGCGAATGAGTTTTTGGAAGAGGGGACACACAGCGTGCGCGCGCGTGCACACACACACACACACACACACACACACACAAGCATGCACGTACAAACATGTAAGAAAATAATGAGGAAATACTCATGACAGTTGCAGTACTCATTCTGTGTGGTAGTAGCTGCCATTTGTAACTATCTTCTATCCAGTCTGTATTCCCTTTGCCTTCAGCAAGCAGCTCAGCTGGTCAGAGTTCTTCACCTGGTGACTGAAACCATCGTTTCTGAAAGGTCTCCGTCATTAGCGGTTCTGCCTGTAGTGGTTGTTGTGGTTTCCTGTTGACGTGGTGACACTAAAAGAACCCTAAAGGATCTCCTGTGTTCCTGACCTTACTTTCATTGTGAGGCAGCACTTCAATTTCTCCTGAATAGTCAGAATCAGTCACCCCAGCCAGCACTGTAACTCTCTTCTTTGCCTGTTGATTCAGACGCACGAGGAACCCAAAGGGGCCAGATGTTGGTCCTCACTTCCAGTTCGATGGGATCATTGCTGTGTCTCCTCGTGGAGGTATCCCTTACTTAGTACTTACTAAGGCACCCCTTACTAAGTACCAGGTCAGCAGGGCGTAGAGTCAGGAGATCAAGAAGCAGAAGTGTTGCTATTGGATCACTAGGGGCAATCCTGAGGGGTGCCATCTTGTTTCCACCCCTAGATTCCTGGACCTATGAATCTTGGCTGTGGGAGAACGAGCACCTTTTTGGTTGTGGGAGGGGTCAGCTTCAACAACGTATCATTTACCCCAGAAGGGATATGCCCACATGCTCACACTCTTTACCATTGGAAATAAAGTCATTACAATCTTTGAATCTAATTAGAGATTCTACTCCAGGAACCTCCAGATGAATTCAGAAAACTCATTATTGATATTCTATTCCTCCAGAACCATTCTAAGTACCTCTATCCGTGTTAGGATTCTCCAGAGAAACAGAACCAATAGGCGATTCCTAGGTGGATCCCTACCTCTATCTCTAACTCTTCCTATATGAGGAGATTTATTATATGGACTTGACTCATGTAATTGTGAAGGCAGAGAAGTCCCCAGATCTGCAGTCGGCAAGCTGGAGATCCAGGACAGCCAATGGTCTAGTTCCAGTCTGAGTACAAAGGCCTGAGAACCAAGACAGCCAATGGTGTAAATTCCAGTTTCAGTGTGAGTCGAGTCCAAGGGCAGAAGACCAATGTCCCAGCTCGAAGAAAATCAAGCAGAGGGTGAATTCTTCCTTATATAGTCTTTTTTTTTTCTATTTAGACCTTCAAGGGATTGAATATGTTCCTCCCATATTGGGGGGGGGGGTACCATCTGTTTTACCTAGTCTTACAATTCAAATGTTAATCTCATCAAGAAACACCCGCACAGGGGCACCTGGGTGGCTCAGTTGGTTAAGCATCTGACTTCGGCTCAGGTCATGATCTCTCAGTTCGTGGGTTGGAGCCCCACATTGGGCTCTATGCTGACAGCTCAGAGCCTGGAGCCTGCTTCAGATTCTGTGTCTCCCTCGTTCTCTCTGCTCCTTCCCCATTCGTGCTCTCTATCTCTCTCTCTCTCTCCCAAAAATAAATAAACATTAAAAAAGAAAAAGAAACACCCCCACAGACCCACTCAGAGCAATGTTTAACCAAATATCTGGGCATCTCGTGGCCCAGGCAAGTTGACACATAAAATGAACCATTATAGCTTTTTCATAGGTTTGCTATTTTTTCCACAATTCTTTGTGAATTATACAAATTAGAATGGGTGAAGGATGATTCCTCCCAAATACTCTAGGCAAAGAAAATATTACCAATTAATGCTGTTGGCCTGTTATATCACAAATTATTAGTTGGTACATAAAAAATTTTTACCACAATGTTTTTATGACAGATTTAATCTTTTTACAACACGAAATGATTTATTTCCTTTATTCCGTTAATGATTTTTAACTTAAAGTATTTTGTCTGATATTATAATTTCCACTTGCGTTTTCCTTTGTTGGTGTTTTCCTGATATTTTGTTTTCTATTTTACTTCTGAATGATGTGTGTAATTTTTTTTTTTTTAAAGGCAATCCTGATTCTTTTTTTTTTTTCAACGTTTATTTATTTTGGGGACAGAGAGAGACAGAGCATGAACGGGCGAGGGGCAGAGAGAGAGGGAGACACAGAATCGGAAACAGGCTCCAGGCTCTGAGCCATCAGCCCAGAGCCCGACGTGGGGCTCGAACTCACGGACCGTGAGATCGTGACCTGGTTGAAGTCGGACGCTTAACCGACTGCGCCACCCAGGCGCCCAAACTAAGTGCTTTTAAAAGCAATGTTTATTAAAAATTACACACATCAGGGCGCCTGGGTGGCGCAGTCGGTTAAGCGTCCGACTTCAACCAGGTCACGATCTCACGGTCCGTGAGTTCGAGCCCCACGTCGGGCTCTGGGCTGATGGCTCAGAGCCTGGAGCCTGTTTCCGATTCTGTGTCTCCCTCTCTCTCTGCCCCTCGCCCGTTCATGCTCTGTCTCTCTCTGTCCCCAAAATAAATAAACGTTGAAAAAACAATTAAAAAAAAAAATAAAAGCACTTAGTTTAATTATCAAATTTTACTCCTCTTAAGGGGCAATATATTTCACAGTCGAAATTTACTATCAAAACAGTATGGTTGGTTTTATACCTGCCATTTTGTCTTATACTTCCTTGTTTTATTTATTTTGTTTTATACTTTATTTTGTTTTATTTTTTCTTGTTTCGGTCCATTTGCTTTTACTATAGAAACTCTCTTGTTTATTGTTATTTTATTTAGCAATTTAGAAGAGAGAGATGAGCAAACATCGGCCTGGTGAGAGACTTCAGGGGACTCGAACCTCAAGGACTGGAGAAAGTGAGGTGAGCCTGTAGCAGGTACGATTTGCTTCAAAGCACAGCAGCTGGCTGCTTAATTCATGTCACAGGACAACTGCAGCATGAGTTTAATCATAGGTAGAAAAGACTCTATAAGCTTTTTATACTGAGTGGCATTAATACTCAGATCTTTAAAATTGCAAGCCACGTGATTTCAGCGTGCTGTGGAGTGGTCTGGCAATATGCCAGGATATTGTTAGGCCAGGCCTGGGTAGACACCTGTACCTTTGCTGCCCAAATTCTGGATTTGCATTGGTGACCAAAATGACTCACCTTTGATTCATGTGTCCTGTTTACAGCCCTAGTTACACCAGGCCGATGTTTGCTCATCAGAGCATTTGCTTCTTTGCTGAGTCCAAATCTTTCTATGAGTTTTAGCCTCTTTGGAAACAGTCGCTTCATTATTTTCTTTACATGCACACACACACACACACACACACACACACACACGTCTAGTTACAGCTCTAGGATGGACTTGGGATGGGCTAATGCACCTGAGGAGTCAGGTTGGTCAGACCTACACAATTTCACGTAAAGAGGCAGGAGAATCAGACGTAGGGTCCAGGACTGAAAATGTGTCCTGGAGAGAAAATGTGGAGCTGGTGACAAAGGTGGCCGGCATGGCATATTTCTACTCTTGGCCAAAAGAGAACAACAGACCAAACGTGACTCTGAGGGAGGTGCCGCAGGGTGCACAAAATGTGCACAAAATCACACGAAATTGGTAAATGTCCCATGAATTAATTTCAAGCTAGGAGAATTTTTTTTTTTTCTTCTGGGATATTAGTTCTCAGGTTTTGTATTCTTGACCAATTGGCATCCCACTATGGCTGAAGCCAGGATGGTTTTCTCCTTCCCCTTGACATTTTTTTTTTTAATTTTTTTAACGTTTATTTATTTTTGAGACAGAGAGAGACAGAGCCTGAACAGGGGAGGGGCAGAGAGAGAGGGAGACACAGAACCGGAAGCAGCCTCCAGGCTCTGAGCCATCGGCCCAGAGCCCGACGCGGGGCTCGAACTCACGGACCGCGAGATTGTGACCTGAGCTGAAGTCGGACGCTTAACCGACTGAGCCACCCAGGCGCCCCTCCCCTTGACATTTTTTTGTGGCTGCTATGGTTTTTGACAACACTAAGCATGGAATCCTACAAATAATTTGGGCTAGGATGATAACTGAGGGGTTAGGGATGGCTTGTTCTCTAAACGTTGTTGGTGTGGAGTTAGCGCCGAGATGATGTTGTGTCTCTTATTAGATCATTAAATGCTTTATAAACAAGGCCCATGGGGTATGTGACATAAAATTAATCCAAGCTGTGAGACTCTAAAAGTGATTGCACGTATTCTGTTAAGAAGGAGCCAAGCTGCCGAGAGCATTTCGCCACCAGTCAGGCTAAAAGAACTGTTCTCCCTGACATTGAGGCAAATAAGAGGATGATGATCAGTCTTCACACTGAAAATTTTGAACTCCGAATTTTCACTTGTGAGACTACAAATATTCGCTTTTGGATTTTAACATTCTTGTGCTTTGTTTGGGAAGCGTGAGATTTAAAGTTTTAAATGTCTGTTTCAGAGTTTGATAATGGAGGAGACTTGGCATATGGTAGGGCGAGACTTTTTATCATTAGAGTCACTTTATAGGTGTTTTAGTATTGAGTTTTGCAAGGTCATTCACATTTATTCCAGACAGTTGCTTCTGGGTGACGGGAACATAAATCCCAACAGGTATAAGTTCACTGACTTGATTCTTTGCTGTAAAAAGAATCTTGATCAGGTGCATTGCTAGGTGAGCTGAGCCAACATCTTGATAAATGAGGCATTGACTTAGTCAACGGATGGTGGCAATGAAAGAAGTGTAGCGAGGGAGGGAGGCAAATTCCGATCCAGAGTGAGTCTCTGTTAATGTGAGAACCAACTGAAGCTCCTTCCACAATGGAAAAGATCCAATGTAATCAGGCTTTACTGGTTAGCTGGCTGCCCCCAATTTGTTACGGTGCCCATTTTAATGTTTTCTTTTAACGTTTATTTATTTTTGAGACAGAGAGAGACAGAGCATGAATGGGGAGGGGTCAGAGAGAGAGGGAGACACAGAATCCGAAGCAGGCTCCAGGCTCTGAGCCGTCAGCCCAGAGCTGGACGCGGGACTCGAACTCACGGACCGCGAGATCGTGACCTGAGCCGAAGTCGGACGCTTACCCGACTGAGCCCCCCGGGCGCCCCTGTTACAGCGCCCCTCTTAAAAATCAACATTGGTCTTTGCCATTGGACATTTGAGCAGTCGGACTGGTGGTAGTTAGATCTGCCTCCAGAAGGAGAAATTCATGGTGTTGGACCCATAACCTCTGGCTCTGGTATCTTTGCCATTTTGTTCTCAAGCCCACCGAGCCGTTACTGGCTGGC